CATCTCCCAGCTTCCCGCTGCTGCGCCTCTGCCCACTTCAAATCCAGCCAACTTTTCTTCTTCAGCCATTTTTACACCTCGTTTCCTCTCTTCCCAGCCCCGTTCACTCAGTTCAGTGGATTCCACGTCTGTGCTACACTGTCATCTCCCAGTGTCAGGGAACTGACGACCACCAGGATCCACACTTTCACCCTAGGAGCCTGCGCAGTGACCAGGCTGCTGCTTCTGCCCCTGGAGCCGAATGATTCTCCTGTGTTAGCTGTGGACTCCCATTGCGAACCTCCACATCTCTGCTGGAAATAGTTAACTAGCTCACAGCTGTTCAACAGCCCCTTTCGGGTTCAAGTTCAGGAACTGTTGCTAAGCACATGGCAGTCACCATTGGAGGACTATCCACTGTTTACCTGTGTGGGAGCTAGCTGTCGTCCACCCATCATTTTACCTTCAGGAGATTCAATTTGTACCGATTTTTTCCACGTCCTGTTGTTTGTGGAAGTTGAGAATTCAGATTGTAGCTCAAGTTTTCATTCCAGGTGGACTGTTCTTTCTACAGCACAGTGGAAATAACTTTTCTAATGACAGTTCATTTATAAGACAGTGTGACATAACAGCAGAAGCATGGGGTTTGCAGCAAACCTGGATTTACCTCTGGCTACGCCACACATAAACTCCACAACTTCCAGAAAGCTGAAATAGGAATTCTCACTGAGCCACTATCAACCCATCTACAAACCGAAACTGATACATCATGTATTGTGATAAACTATGTGAAGGTCATGGAACACAATAGACACCAGTTTACCATTAACAGTGACTCGTTCTTTGTTCAAATTCATTCCCAGCTCCTTAATCCAAGCTCTCAATTTCAACTCTAAACTGGCTTTTTTGGGGGGTTGAATGTCATGGACAGAATCCACTTCAAGCCCCTGTGCATTATCCTTATCATAAGGCCTTGTGATGATTCACCCTTGCAAAGCCTCCCACCTCTCACGAGTTCAAGTCTCATCTTGTCCTCGGGCCTTGAACAAGGTGCATGCCCGGGGGGGGTTGAATGTCATGGACAGAATCCACTTCAAGCCCCTGTGCATTATCGTTATCATAAGGCCTTGTGATGATTCACCCTTGCAAAGCCTCCCACCTCTCACGAGTTCAAGTCTCATCTTGTCCTCGGGCCTTGAACAAGGTGCATGCCCGTGCATGCCTAACCCATACTCCCGATTCTGATGTTATGTGGTACCCACTGTAGCACTTATAAGATCGTGTGGTCCCTTAGGCATCTCCATAGTGTATGGCTTTTTTCCTTGAAAAAGGGTGTCGAGAATGCTTCTCTATTTTCTTTATGGTCTCTTAATGTGCTACTATGTTTCACACCTAGAAATTTGCTATCCATTTAGTAAAGTATTAGCAAGAATGACATTTATAAACAAGACTAGCAGTTTACAATGTAAGTCAGTATGATACAGCTGTTTGCACCTTGTCATTCAGTTGGAAGAATTTTAGGCAACTTTTCTGATTTAGACACATCTACAAC